TTTTTTTCAATCTTTTCAATCGAAACAGGTGCATCGCTTCTTGGCTATTGACCTTTTGCTTCATTTCATCTTTTGTGAGGGACTTAAATTGCTAAAGACATCTGCAATGTGAAAAATATTCAGTATTAAAATGTTATCTGCTGTGAAGCAGTTTACTCATCCAACATTTTCTAGATTGTTTGCGGTCAATCATTCTTTCATTTGATCCTACTTTATCATGAGATGCATTATTATAGAATGTCCTCACGAGGAGCTAACATGCGGCTCACTCGAAGAAAGGCTGAGTACAGTTGAGAAGAGAGCTCTGCTTGTGAATTTCCTTCTGAACGAACTAAAAGCTGCACGACTGTACGCCTGCAATGAACTAGCGCAGCCTGTCTTGGTGAATTTGAAAGTTTCGTTTGAATCTTTATGAGTGGCTCACTCAGTTACCTACTTAAGGAACAACAAGGAGATAAGGAACTTACACCCTACCTGACCTCCGCTCTTAAAGCGGCTGGTGTTCCTAAGCCGAAAGACAAGTTTGAACCTATCGACATAATCGATATGCTACATAAAGGGGTTTGTTTTTACATTTCTCTTTGATTTATACCTCCCTGCGGACATTATGGATGGCTTTCAACAGGTTGACGCACGCCTTCAGTCATGTGTGGAACGTCCAAAACCTATTTTGACTGCCAAACTGGATGCTAAGCAATGGAAAAAAGTTGAAAAAGTGAGAAAGTTTCCGTCATAAGATTTCGAGATGGATTCAGAAAAATTAGCTGACCAACGATTTTATTCAAATTTTTGTTGTTGTGGTGGTTGCAAGTGGAGTGGCATTTACATAAGAAAGATGTTTTTCTTATTCACACCTTTGCTACATTCTCCTACTTTTGCGTTCCCTTTCAACAGTACTCTTTCGTCTGCGGAACTCTTTCGTCTGGGGAATGGATTTCTTCGACTGATATTTCATAAGGGGCTTCAACATTACTAGCCAACATCAACTGTAGAGATTCTATCGAAAAGAAGCATTAGCTAGGCCATGTGCTTTTTTACGCCAGTGCAACTTTTTTGCTCACATTACTTTCGGCAATTACATTTTCCCACAGAAAGGCAGTTATATCAATTTCGAAGGTGTTCAGCCTTAATGCTAAAACCGGCTTCACATTGAACACCTTCGAACACCGGCTGATACACCTGATCCGCACTTGACCGGCTTTTCTCAAGTTTTCTTTGCTGAACTTTTTTTCTTTTTTAGCTCGTAGAAGAAGTAGCACAGAATTGTCGTTCACGATCACTCCTGATTCTGAAGCGTATCGATGTAACAGTGAACTCATTTTTGTGGTATGTCTTGCAGTCAGTTGCACCTACTTGTTAGATGCTAAATCGCCACATCTTTCTTTTTAAATTCCAGGTGTAATAGAATAAAGCCTAAAGAGGCCGAAATTAGAGAGCTCTTTGCAAAGAGGCGTGAAGAAATGTCGCACTTCACACCTCCGACAGTTGCAGATTTACTCGCTGCTAGCCAAGATTTGCTAAGGATCGAACAAGCAAGTAGTGCAAGACTGAGGTCTTTATTTTTTCTTTTCATTGATTACATGATGATTTTCGCATCAATAAGCAGTAATAGGATTTCTACTGAGAGAACTTCATACTTTTTTGTTTCAGAAAGAATACACGTTCTAAAATACATCCATTGGCATTGGCTGCACGGCCAACCGATCGAGGAGGACGTACGAATGAAATGATTGGCGAAATCGCTAAAGAGCAAGCTTGTGAGATTTCTTCTTCAACCTTGTTTCCCTTATTTTTCCATCTTTTTCCCTTAACTACTTGGCTCCCAAGAACATCCTTCTCTTATATCCGATTATTCTCAGAGGACATTCGATTCCGACCCTACATTTAACCTAGACCACGCGACAACATTACTTTTTTTCAGCCGCTCAGCGAGGACGAGGTAGAGGTGGAGGTCCTGGAGGGTACCAAGCGCAGCCATCTCATCAGCAATATCAACAGAGTCACCAGCAATCCTACCAACAGAATTATCAACAACCTTACCAACAAAATTATCAACAACCTAATTACCAGCAACCGTATCAGCAGTCCTACCAGCAGCCTTATCAGCAACAGTACGTCTCGCGTGAACAAATGGTAAGAGTTGTTTTCAGAAACTTTCCGTTTCATGACAGACTAGAATTTGTCAACTTTCATTTCGAAGTGGTTTCACTACTGTTCCGATAACTTTAGTCCCTCCTTTTTCTCTTCTCCCTTCCCACCGCTACCTCTCTTATCTTCAACCATGTGTACGGAATAGTCTGTTTCGCTATGGTCGAGGTATTTAAATAATCAAAGGTATTTGTGAATTCTCCGACAACGATTTTTTTTTCAATGCATCGTAAATTGACTTCGATGCGATTGTGAAATGAACGAGCCATTTTTTTTTTAAATCGTCGATACTACATTCATTTTCATCCTCGCTAACTCTTTTCCTCCTTATTCTTAAAAGATATACGTGTTTCCTTGGTAATAGTAGAATCTCATCTGGCCTAGAGTTCAGGCTTTTGTTTCGGCGCTTTTTCTTCACAAAAGCCCTCTTGGAATTTTGTTCAGCTTTCTGCTACACAGGGGCCGCATAACAACTTGATGATTTATACATACACTTAAACAGTTTTTCATGTATGTCGCCTGCAAAGCCTGCAGGAGAGAACAGTCTGTTCGTTCCTGCAGCCTATCGAAGCGACCAAAGTTCACAAGATCCTGAACCACATAGCAACTAAGTGTCTGTTTAGCATAGGATGACAGTTGGCTCTCTCACTTCTTGTTTTTGGTATTTTGGACTGCCAAGGAAATTAAAGAGGGAACTGCTTGTTCGAGAAGTAAAGCTTATAAGAAATTTCGTTCACGAAGTGTAACGCCAATAGCCGGGACAGGGTAATTTACTATCTGGTTTGTACGCTTCTTCTGCCATACGAGAATAGGTGAATACCATTAAAGACCACTGTTGAAATATTTTGGCCGAAATCGCCATATTGTGAATTTACTATGTGACCACGATCCCTTACCAATATCTAGCATGTCAGCGCCACAAACGACTCCCTAACTTAACCCACGCACTTGACCGGTGTGGGGTCTGCCGTACCCACGATAGACGAGTCCGCACTCTACCTGTAACAGCGTCATTGGCAAGACCTGTATTTATTTGTTCCATGTGGACTTGCTTATCATTGCTGTGTTGTCTGGTGGCAACGTCTGCACTGAGTACTCTGTTGTTGAACACTTTCTCTGTTATCATCGGACGTTAGCACTATTAACACCACAATAACGATAAGGAAGCCTTCAAGAAACTGATAAACCTACTTATCGCCCTAGACGCTGCTACAGATGGAATGCGAACCCCTTGATCGTTGGTTTGATCCTAAAACTTAGGAGTATGGGGTTGGTCAGGTTAGGTAATCGGCTCAGACGGTGAGACGAAGAGATATTAGTCTTAGGATCGCGCCGCAGATTATGATGCCATAATAGTTACTGTTCTTGTTTTCTTTTTACTTATTCCCTGCGAATTCCTCATATCTGTATGATTGCGAGTTTTTAAGATTCAACGAGAGTATCGGGGCTCTTACCAGGATGGACCAAGAGGTGGAGGGAGAGGAGGACCTCCACGCGGTGGCCGTGGTGGGGGACGCGGATACGATCGAGGAGGATACTATGGTCACGACAATAGATACTGATTCGATTACAAATTTGTTATTGTCTTTTGTTTTACGTCACTTATTGTTTTCGCTGATGCACTTTGATTGTTGCAATAGTCGCTTGTACCAGTAATGCCAAAATATATAGATTGTTACGCACTTCGTATCAGCCACCTGCTATTTAATAGGAATATCACATTCATTGACGTCTTCGCAATATTGATGCGTGATTTCTTTATTTTGTTAGGTCAATAACAAATTGTTTAGCTTTTTTCTTAGGCCAGTTGGTTAGTTGGCACGCGTTTGTTTTTTGTTCTTGCGAGTTCGAGCCAATTTCTGACATAGAGTTTGAGATTCCAAAAATAGAGATACTATCGTTATAGTGTGGTGTTGCTTCTCTATGTTCTTCTGTCAGGTTTTGAATAAAATCCTTCGTTTATTCTATTGGGCCTTGAAACGTGGTTGTCCCACCGATGTTTACTGGTGGTAAGTGCATCATTGACTTTTTCCCAGCCAAAAATTGTTAGTATTAAACTGAGAGGAAGTATCATAGTTCACAGTATTGCCATGTGACTGGCTTAGTTAAGTGGAGCACAACATATGTTCTAACAGAGGGCAAAATTCTTCATAGTATTTATTTTAACATACGGCCATGATCCGCGTAGGCAGTTTCTTGGCGGCGCAGTGGCAGGTTCTTTTTTTCGTGGAAGTGTGATCGATCGAACCAAAGGGTTGTGTTGTGAAACTTGACTTCAAGTTGTTGCCATTTCAATTTCTTATTGATTTGTTGTGATTACTACTGCATCCCTAGAGCACGTGAACTCGTAATCAACATTTCTGTAAACACCACCGATCTATCTTATATGTCGAGATTGAATGACATTGATGCATGATAAATCAGCTATGCAAAAACCTATGGGGGTTGTGTCGGATCTAACAAATTATTCTGAGACGCGTTCCCGTCGTAATATTATGTTGGCAACCAGGTAACTGCTTATTTTTTAAGTACTTCAAGCATTCATCTTAAAGGGTAACCTTATTTCCGAAATGACTTATATTTAAAAATCAGGTACCTGAGTAGTTATTTGCTACATACAACTGAATAACTTTGTCTTCTTTGTTAACTCAGTTACTATTTCTTTTCTTCTTGTAAAATGCAGTTATGTATTTTAAAACGCAATCACTTGGTCCCCAACCTAACAGTATAGTCGCCTGTGTTCGCAAGAATTCACAAACTCTACGTTTTAGCTGAAGACTTGAGCAAAAAGTCGGTCGGCCCAGTGACATGTGGCGCCGCTACTAGACACATAACTTATGATCGAAACAGAGACCGAATCTCACTGACGACGATCATGCCTACGAGATCAGATAATTAATAACAAGCTCGCATGAGACAGGGAATACAACGATTCATAGTTGTATAGAGACTGTTTGCCGAAGAGCTGATAAATTTACTGAAAGAAATCAATCAATCGGAGTTCAACAATTCATTTATTTCTATTTTATGAATGACGTTAGTGTACAACTGACAAGAAAACTGCTAGAAATATTTCTTATTCTAGTTTTTTTTTTGTTTGTTGATTCTTGAGTAAGATAAGGCTATCAAACGCTTCTTTATTAGTTGTCAGTCAATCCGTCATACATTAACGTCATAAAATTCGTCCGTCATAAATGGACGTGGATTAGTTTG